TGTAGCATTTCCTTTTCCGCTTGATCATTTGATTTTATTTTCTCCAGTATTCCTTTGTTCAGGTTTTGTATAAGGACATCTTTGACCCAAATATTATATCTCAGATGTTATCCTATTTATGATATGATATTTTTATTCTGAGTTTGTCTATTATATTCTTACTGATTGTGATCGGGGACTTGTGACTTCGCATTGTATTTATCTCTAGATGCTTAGCGTATTGGATTGAGAAGAAAAGAAAAGAAAAAGTAATAGTATATAATTCTTCTCAATCTAATACGTCGCGGTCTTGTTCATGTTCCGATTCCCGGGTATTCTGAGAAGTGGGGCGTGACAGGTTTTAGTGGTGGCCCATGCAGGTCACGGTCCTGGTCACGGTCCTAAGTCCTCACTAGTAAGAATATAGTGGACAGTTTAGATGCATAACATATTTCATCCGTAAGACTAATCTTGAGCCATTCTTCTATTTTCTTAATAGATCTCGTTTCGTTCCTATCTTATCACTCTTTGACTCCGGAGTTTTCCACGATTCTTGTCTCATCGCTTCTCGATTACCCTATCTTTGTATAACTCCTCTATCCTCGTGCTGGTCGTTATTATATGTGTTATTATTTTTACAACTATATTTCTTTGATTTAACTTATATATATCGTTCGATTGTATAATTTTTGCATTATTTATTATATTATTTTATGTATCACACATAGTGTTATATTATATGTTTTTTATTAAAAATATAAATCATTACTTATATATTTTCAATTTTTTAAATCATATCAATAAGTGTTTCGTATTGCTCTAGATTTCAAATACACATTACATAGCATATCTGATATTCAGATTATTTTCTTGTATTTAATTATACTTTTGCATAGTTATATTGTGTATGTGCACGCTTTTCTGTCATACTATCTATCATTTACTTATATTCTAGATTAATATATGTAGTTCGTTTTTTTAATAAGTTTATTATTTCTAGTATCAACTGTGTAACCATATTTATCTATAATATATCAGAGTTTTATTATACGTAATTATGCTCTTCTTATGTTTTATTTGCTTATATACCTATTTTACCTTTCATAGTTTTTGTTTTTATATATTATACTTCTTTATCTAGTAGTACGTTGTGAGTGTCAGTATTTTTAGTAAGCATTTATGTTTCGGTGTATTCTATGATTTTTTTGTATGTGCTAATTTATTTTGAGTTTTATACTGTCAATTTATTCGTTACTTATTTTAATGCCTTGAGTCCTTCAATTATGTTTTTTTTGTCAGATTGGTATTTTTTATTATTTTGACTTGTGTTATTTTACATCATGTTACTCTTCTGTTTTGTTTCTCTTATTTTTTATATTTTTTCGTAGATCATATTATATCAATATCATTTTATTCTTATATTTTTCTTTGAATATGAGTTGTTATTTTTTGGTGTGAGTGTGTGGTGTTATGACTTTATAGTTTGTGTATAAGGTTATTAAAGGATGTTACAATGTGTATGTTTTTTAGCTTTGATTTTTGTGTTTTTATATATTGTATTATGATTACGTATTTAGTCAAAATATTTTTGTAGTTAGTGAGTTTTATATTTTATGCAGTGTATTCTTACTCATGTTTTTTCACGTTTCAATTTGTGTATTGCTATACTTATTATGATTTAGTATTTATTATGCTTTGCTACAATTTTTGTTAGTAGTCACGTTATGGTGTAGTTGTTTTTATTTTATGTTGCATTTGTTTTATTAATCCTACGTAGTGTACATATTACTTATACATGTCTGTTGTGTGTGTTACCACATAATTTTGGTCACATTTTACCTTTTATGTATGCGTTTTGTTATCATTATTATTTGGTTATTTATCAAGTTATATATTTTTCTTGTATGTGTTTTTATTGTCTTTAATTTTATTAATTTATTAGTTTATTTGTAATATTTGGGTTATATTTTTATTATTAGTTAACATAGTTATTTCTTTTACGTTTCATCAGTAGTTTCATAGTTTATTTAGGATGTAAAATGAGTGTTATAAGTTTATACAACTTAGTTATAGATTTTGCACATTGTAGATATTTTGTTGTGGTTATTAGTTGTTTTTCTTTTGTTAGGTTGTGTATATTTTACTTTAATATTGTATTTTATTACCTATTCATTAATTATTTCAATTAATGTATTTATTAATTTTTTTTATACACAAGTCTCTGTATTACTGTTTTAGTTAACTGATTATGTCCATAATTGATTATTATTTTGGATATTATTACATGGCAGTTCATATGTTGTATTATGTTTATTCTTTATGTATATTGGTTTTATAGTTTTTGTATCATATTTGGTTATTCTAATGGGTATAATGATATAATTGTTATTGGTATATTTTAATATTGTGTTCATTGTGTAAATATTTTGAATACATAATTACATGGTTGTTGCATATATTTTTTATGTCTTTTATCTACGACCATTATTGACATGTTTTTACTTCCTATTATCAGCTATTATATGTATTATCTTGCTCTACAAAATTAGACCATTATTGACATGTTTTTACTTCCTATTATCAGCTATTATATGTATTATCTTGCTCTACAAAATTACTATATGATATCGTGCATATCTTATTTTAAATTCCAAGGGTAGAATTTGTTTTAAGGGGAATGGAATGTAAGGATCATGAATTTTGATACTAGTTAAAATAATTTTTTTTATTTTTTTAAAATAGCATTTATATTTTCTCGAATTTCTACACTTTTTTATGATTTAAAGTCAAAGTTTTATATTTATTTAAATGATTTAAATATTTATAAATTTATTTAGTGCTGTAAATATTTTTAGAAATTATCCGTTGTGTTACCGATACTATTACGTATCATTTTGAATAATACGTGGTATTATTATTATTATTACGTATATTTTTATATAATACGTTGTATTATTAATTATGTATTATTTGTATAATTTGTTGTATTATTTTTACTGTTGCATGTTACCTGTCGTATTAGCATAACTGATACATTTTACTGTGTATATAATTATCCCATAATTATTTGATTTTAAAAATATGTAAATATAATTTTATTATTAATTATTCTCGTTTAAGTGTACAATATGAGTATATTTCGACTATTTCGTATTAACTATTGTAATAGCACATGTACGTTTTTTTTAGATAATTATTCCGTAATTATTTTGATTTTTAAATATCAGTAATTATTTATTTTAATTTATTTTCATTAAAGTCCTAACCCTAACCCTGTATATAAATATTATTTTCTTTTTTTCTTTTCATGTGAACATCCTCAGCCGCCATCATCATCATCTCCCTCTTCTCCTCCTCCGAGCCACCTACATCCGCAGATCAATAACCGTCGCGCGGCCTCTGATCCCGTCCGGCCACCAACGCCGACCATGCACACGACAAACCCGCTCGCAGGCCACCGCGGCCACCTCCTCGTGTCCCCTCTCTCCTCCTCTGCACCTCCAAGCCGCCTGCCTCAACTCCGTGCCACATCCTCCAACTTCACTCCCTGTTGTCAGCCGTGCCGACCGCCTCCGAAGCACCACAAACGGCGACACCAGCTCCGTCGCCGCCACTTCCAGGCCGTTCCACCCTCTCTCCTGACACCGCGCCCCGATCGCCTCCACCACTCAGCGCTTCGCCAATCGTACCAGCGAGCCCCCGACTTAGATCGGCCTCCAGAACCCCGTCGCCCCCTGTCCACCGTGCCACCGCCAGAGCTCACCAGGCCGCGCTTCATCGAGACTCTCCTCCTGCTGGCCGTCAGCCCTCCCCGGCCTAAACCTTTACAGTGTCTACGTCCTGCGTCGCCTTACACCACCAGATCTGACCACGCCGATGCCAGTCCGACAGCCCCGCTCCCGTTCGTCGTAGTCGCCACATGTAGCCACCTCCGATGACGTCCCTCCCCGCTAGATCTCCACCACCCGCCGACCAACAACGACAACCTAAGTTTGCTGCCACATTCCACTCGCACTCAGATCAGATCCGTGCCGTCGACGTCGATTCATTCGACATACCTGAGGCAAGATCCCTTGCTCATCTTGTCATTACTTAGAATTTTATACTTGTTATGAATTATCTGCGTATTAATTTGTGTTATAATCATCTGTGTGGGATTGGTTGATGATTAATATTAAATAATTTATATTAATATGAAGAATAATATTTTCAGAAGAGTTATAGTAAATTATGAGAATTTGTTCGGCAAAAGAATTATATTTTTGATAATTATTATGAATTAAAAGAATTTAGTTCGATAAAAGAATAATTTTTAGATAATTATAATAATTTAAAGGAATTTATTTTAGAAAATGAATTATTTGTAGATTAACAGATAAGATAAATAATTTAAAATGAATTAATTTGGAAAAAAATTATTCTTCTGAATTATGCAGACGCTGTTTATGATTTATACTTATTAATTTTGATTATTCGATATGCCATGATATTGTTGTATGGAATTAGTTTTATTTATTATCTCCTTGTTGTGATTGAGAACCTTAGTAGTTCATGACTTAGTGACCTCGTGCGTCATGAATAGACCTAGTGACATATGTGGGTGTGTTGACCGAGTTTAGGTGGTGAACCCGAGTTTCAATGAGGATTATGGTTGACTTAGAAATAAACGAGAAGAGTTGGGATGGGGAAGTCCATGTTCATGTGATCAGATATAGCTGTTGATTTATCTTCCAGACTCGCCCCATTATTCAGTTGTGGCACCCCTGTTTCCACACTTGGCTGCAGTCCAAGGTGAACCCAGAGATGTCAAACCTGTCATGCACCTCCACTGTGCAATTTCCACACTTGGCTGCAGTCCAAGGTGAACCCAGAGATGTCAAACCTGTCATGCACCTCCACTGTGCAATAACATATTTCACCAATCACAGTAATATCCTCTAGTAGAATCAAGTAGATGTGAAGGTACAAAACAGGCAAATAAGAGAAATAAAAATACAATAGACATGATGCAGAAAGAAATATCTCATAATGATATCATGTCTCGACTAGAATAAATTGAAATACAACTGATATACATCTGGAGTCTGAAATAACATGACATGTCTCAACATGGATTAACTAGAAATCGTACTAATGCAACATGCCTTAACAATATGAGTACAAACTCAAATGACTGAATAATACTACTGTGGAGTCCATACTAGTAAAAAAATATGCGACGGCGACTATGCAAGAACTCTGTCATCCTACGACTCTCCGATGCTCTGAGCCGCCTGAAAGTTAAAATAAAATAAAAAAGAAAAAAAAACAACGACAAGAGCGTCAGAGTGCTAGTAAGATTACCTCCATCCGCCCCCGGGGATGGGCTACTAGATATAGTGGAGGCTCTATCTATTAAGCATAGTATACCTATATCATTTTCCCCGAATCTATATAGAATTAATATTTAGAAACCTACAACACGAGACGTAGTACGTCGAGCGAAATAATCCAAACAAGGAAACCCTCACGTATATACTGTGTGTCTCAAATTGTAGATAACTAAATATTAATCCCGGACTAAGCAAACGAAATATAACTAGAAAGTAAACATCATGATAAACATATGTATCAATGCATCTCAATCGTCAAATATCTCAACAATGAGTCGATGTCACTTTTGGCATCCGCCAAACACTCAGATAAATCCGTTTGTAATATTATTGTGTTCCTGTGTAAATCAACAGGACAGAAATATCAATTCCTACACAATCTATACGTAAACAAAGACATAGGTTCACTGACCTCAGCGCACTATCATGCGGATAATAAACATAGATCCATCGATCCCAGCGCACTATCATGCGGATAATAAACACAGGTCCATCGACCCCAGCGCACTATCATGCGGATAAACAAGTGTCATAGGTTCATTTACCTCTTCTCATGCTCGTGCGGATAAACAAATATCATAGGTTTATCGACCTCTTCGTACGCTCGTGCGGATAAACAAATATGTGTAGTGGAGTGAAATTCATCACTGTCTCATTTGCGATGTATTAACCCGCTCACTCAAAAGTTTAATTGTAACAATTTTTTTTTTCATAATCCCCTAGGGATACTGACATATATATTACTACATATTCATGATAATAAGTGTAACAATCGAGCGACTCAAACTCCGTGAAAACATCTCAAAACAGCGCAAACAATCTCTAGAAAAAAAGAAACTGGGCCAAACTGCCCAGAAAAATGATCAGCGCTATGGTTAGTAAAATGAGCTAATATTTTTCTGGGAAAACTATTCTTAGGAAAGATTTTCGGTTTTAAAAACTAGATTCACACATCTTTCAATTGGCACTAGTTTGGTTCAGTTTGAAGTTCAATTTCAGTACCAGATTTCAGTTGAAGTTGCATACACGTGCAGCAGTTTTCTGCATGACATGTCGTTAATAAAAAGAGTATATATTTCTCTATACAAACTATTTTTAAGATTTGTTTTCTGTTTTAGAAACTAGATTCACATATCTTTCATTTGACACTAGTTTAGTTAAATTTGATGTTCATTTTCTATCTCAAATTTTCAGTTAAAGATCATGTACGTGCTGCCGTTTTCTACAGAAAATATATCATTTGTAAATCTTTTAAATTTCTCATATATAAAGGAAATTAATATTTATCCTAATGATCATGATCATATATCTAAATCCAACAATAAAAAAATAAAATATTCAGTTCTAAAAACATCATGATTAACAAAATTTCAGTACTAGGATTTATCATCAAAAATCAAGTTTTTAACATCACAGTTAAGCTTTAAGCATGATAAATCTCATTTTTAAACTTCTTATAATTTCAACTAAATTACAGGAAAGGTTTGGGTAGGAGATAATCTTGCCTCGATGTCGCTGATAATCCCCAAACGAAAGTTTGTACGAGATCCCCCCTTCGCTGCAATTTGATATCCCCTGTTTCCTCTCTTCAAACGCCACAAGAAACTCTATGTTTCCTCTCACAAACGTCACAGGAACTCTCTGAAGCTTATTGTTGGGTTTGGAGAGATAGGCTCTGTAACTCACGTAATTCTTTGTGGAGGGTTTTGAAGGCTTGATACTTGGTTTGGGGTCATTTTCTTTGACAGAGAAAAAGAGAGATGAAGACTGAGTCTGGGAACTGAATCTTAGTCTTTAGTTTCTCAAAAAAATGACATTTTAGTACCATTGGCTTTTAAAGAAAAAAAATGCAATTGTTTTTCTTTTGTGGTACAATCATTCACATAACTTTGTTTTCTTTGAATTTTAAATCAAAGGAGGTGCCCACACACACCCAAATTACTGGTATTAGTCTTCATACAGGTGTAATATATTTACACAAAATTTTTTACAAATAAAAAACGACTAAAATTGGATTCAAAATCAATGAAAAAGCAACGAAAACAAACCTGCAGAAATTCAGCATAAAAAACGACTAAAATTGGATTCAAAATCAATGAAAAAGCAACGAAAACAAACCTGCAGAAATTCAGGTACAGTATGATACAGTATTCTCCGTTTGTATGCTACAGTAACCACTGCTACAGTGCTTCTTAGCTGTACCAACGCCTTGGTATGCAGTGCCGAAGAGAAAAATTTCGTTTATGCTACAGTGTTGTACACACAGTAAAATACGTTATAGTATATTATACATATATATAAGTTATGTATTTTGGCTATAACGTTCTCATCCAACATTGGAATGAGATGAATTAAGATTTGTTGGAAAGCTGTCGAAAAGACCTACAACTTTAATATTTTGAGTTTTTTCAGATTCTAACTGTATCAGTGTGTAAAATACATAAACTCTTAACTGGTCTTTTCACCAGATTTGCATTTGCACTCGTATATTCACGTATATAAATTGAATTGATCTCAAATCAATTTCTAACATACTCAAATATCAAAATATGATATTTATCATCATAAAAAATTAGTATTATTGTTTATCATAAAATATTCAATTTTACGGGGTTTTACATTCTTCCCCCCTTAAAAGAATCTCGTCCTTGAAATTTCACAAATGTATCTTAGAGATTAATAATACCAAAAAAGTATGTTGGGGGAATAATCCAAGCAAGGAACCCCCCATATATATACCATGTGTTCCGAAAGATTAGAAGCTAAATATTAATATTCACATTCTAGCATTAAAAGTAAATATGGCCAAAGAGATAAATCATAAGCAAAACGCAAATCATTATTAAATCAATTTACCTGCTCAAACAGGTGTGGGTAGTCGCGATGCATGTCCTCTTCGCGCTCCCAAGAAGCCTCCTCAGCTCCTTTCCGGTTCCACTAAACTTTCACGAAGGGGATGACCTTATTCCTTAGTCTCTTTTCCTCTCTGGCAAGGATGCAAATTGGTACCTCAATGGTGGATAAATCTGCCTGAATCTCGATCTCAGGTGTATCAATCACCCTCTGCTGCTCCTCGTCACGTAGGTACTTCTTGAGCATCGACACATGAAATACATCGTGCACACTTGCCATCGATGCTGGAAGATCTAGTCTATATCTTCTTGAGCATCGACACATGAAATACATCGTGCACACTTGCCATCGATGCTGGAAGATCTAGTCTATATGAAACCGCTCCAACACGCTCGATAATCCTGAATGGTCCAACATATATCGGGGCAAGTTTTCCCCGTCTGCCGAATTGCTGAACGCCCTTCATAGGTGATACCTTCAACATGACAAAATCTCCAACCTGAAACTCCAAAGGTCGTCGCCTCTGATCCGCGTAGCTCTTTTGTCGACTCTGAGCGGTAAGAATACGCTCTCTAATTAATGCTACCTTCTCCGTAGTCTGTCTCACCAGCTCTGACCCAAGTAATAGGTTATCCTCCGGCTCCGCCCAACAAATCGGGGATCTGTAGGGTCTCCCATACAATGCCTCATACGGAGCCATACCAATCGTCGCTTGATAACTGTTGTTATAAGCGAACTCGACCAAAGGAATGTGATCCTCCCAACTACCCTGAAAGTCTAGAATGCAAGCCCGCAACATGTCCTCCAAAACTTGGTTCACTCTCTCTGTCTCCCCATCTGTTTGTGGGTGAAACACACTGCTGTATGATAATCTGCTGTCGAATGAATCCTGGAAGCTCCTCCAAAAATGCGAAGTGAAAACTGAGCCTCGATCCGACATGATTGTCTCAAGAACTCCGTGTAATCAAACTATCTCCTGAATGAAGATCCTTGCATAAGTCTCGGCGGTGTAGGTAGTCCTCACTGGTATAAAATGTGCTGATTTTGTCAACCGATCAACTACCACCCAAATGGAATCATTCCCTTTCTTTAACCTCGGTAACCCCACAATGAAATCCATGGAGATATCCACCCATTTCCATTCCAGAATGGGTAAAGGCTGTAGAGTACCTGCTGGTCTCTGGTGTTCTGCTTTCACCTGCTGACAGGTAAAACATTTAGCAACATATTCTGCTATTTCCCTACGCATACCACTCCACCAAAAGTGTCTCTTCAGGTCCTCGTACATCTTTGTTGTGCCTGGATGCACTGTGTACCTGGAACGATGCGCCTCATCAAGCAACTCCTTCTTCAGCTCTGCACTAGCTGGTATAACTAATCGACCTTTCATACGAAGACCTCCGTCTGCTCCAACGGTCCAATCGGCTTTGGGCTCCTTAGAAATCTCCCCCTTTCAGGTTTGAATCCAAGAGTCCTCTAACTGGGCTCCGACCACTCTATCACTCCAAGATGGCTGTACTGACATAGCTCCTAAAAATGCGTTGCTCCCGTCGATCTTTGGCCTAAAATCAAACTGGCTAAGAGTGTAAAGGTCTCGGTACAACGAGCACCTCAAAGCCGCAACCCGATATCGACGCTTCCTGCTCAAAGCATCCGCCACGACGTTAGCCTTCCCCGGATGATACTAAATCGTGAACTCGTAATCCTTGATGAACTTGACCCATCATCCTTGCATCTGGTTGAGTTCCTTCTGAGAAAATAGGTACTTCAGACTCTGGTGGTCTATGAATAACTCGAACTATACCCCATAAAGGTAATGTCTCCATATCTTCAGTGCGAAGACCACTTCTGCTAATTCCAAATCGTGCGTGGGATAGTTCTTCTCATGCGTCCTCAACTGTCGAGAGGCATAAGCTACTACTCTCTGGGTCTGCATCAAAACGCCTCCTAGGCCCGCTAACGACGCATCTGTGTAGACAACAAATGTTCTATCACTTCTCGGAATAGTCAACACTGGTGCTGTAGTCAACTTGGTCTTTAAGGTATCAAAGGCCTTCTGACACTCCGTGCCCCAAATAAACTGTACACCCTTTTTCGTAAGGCGTGTAAGTGGTGTGGCAATCTTCGAGAAGTCCTGAATAAACTTCCTGTAATAGCCGGCTAAACCCAAGAAGCTACGAATCTCGGTAACCGTCTTAGGCGGCTCCCAATCACGTACTGCTGTAACCTTAGCTGGATCTACTGCTATGCCCTCTCCGCTGATGACGTGGCTAAGAAACCTGACCTCAGAAAGCCAAAACTCATATTTGCTGAACTTAGCGTATAATTGATGCTCCCGCAAAGTCTGTAATGCTAATCGTAGATGTTGCTCGTGCTCTACCTCCGATCTCGAATAGATAAGGATATCGTTGATAAATACAATCACGAATTGGTCCAAATATGGACGAAAAACCCGGTTCATCAAATCCATGAATACCGCAGGTGCATTGGTCAGTCCAAATGGCATGACAAGAAACTCGAATGACCCATATCGAGTCAGAAAGGAGGTCTTGGGAATATCCATCTCCCGAACCCGCAACTGATGATAGCCAGAACAAAGATCAATCTTCGAGAAATAATGCGCTCCCTGTAGCTGGTCGATCAGGTCGTCAATCCTCGGTAATGGGTACCTATTCCGGATGGTGACCTTGTTCAACTCACGATAATCAATACATAATCGCATACTACCGTCCTTCTTCTTCACGAATAGGACCGGTGCTCCCCACGGAGAATAACTCTGACGAATAAAACCCTGAGATAATAACTCATCCAACTGGGTCTGTAGCTCCCTCATCTCAGCAGGTGCCATACGATAGGGTGCTCGGGATATCGGTGCTGTGCTCGGCTGCAACTCGATGCAGAACTCAACCTCTCTCACAGGAGGTAACTCAGGTATATCCTGAAAGACATCCTGATAATCTGTGACGACTCTAGTCTCGCATAAATTGGCACTATGATCCCGTAGCATCACTTCCTCGATGTATGCCAGAAATGACTCTGCAAGCTGGTTGCCCTGTGAGGTCGCTACGATCAACTCAGACCCATCGGATGCCCACAAGATGACTGTCTTAGTAAAATAGTTGATACTGACATGGTAGGATGAAAGCCAATCCATACCAAGAATGACATCAAAATCCGACATACGCAACACGATCAGATCTATGAGAAACTCGGACTCATCTAAACTGATGACACAACTCCTACAGATACTCTCCAATAAAGATATCTCCCCTAAAGGAGTAGCGACGGATAGTGGTACATCTAAAGGATGTGCAACTAGCTTAAGCCTATCCATGAAGGTATGAGAAATAAAAGAATGCGAAGCTCCAGAATCGAACAAGATCCGAGCCGGAAAGGAATTTACAAGAAAGATACCTTCCACTATGGCTCCGCTCGCACCCTGATCACGTGCTACGACCGCATAAACTCTGCCTGTGGCTGACGACTGCTGAACTGCTGGGGGTGGAACGTACGGGACCATCTGTCCCTTATGAACCTCCTGGATAGCATGGAATTGGCCTGCTGGCCCCTTAATCCTCGGAACTACAGGTGGTGCCTTTATCCTCCGCTGCTGTTGGTCGTAGCCGCGGTCCTGCTGTTACTGCTGACTCTGACCACGGTTCTGCTGCTGACCGTGTCCTCGACCCTGCTGCTAGCCTCCTCTTTGTGCGCTACGGCACTTCTGCTGCTCTGTGCCCAAACTTCTGACAGTTGTGGCATGTTCCCTGTAATTTGTACTGCTGCTGCCCCCTCTGATCATGAGGTGGTCTTCTCTTGAATTGACCCTGCTGGTGGTGCTGGAAATCCTTACCTCGCTTTTGGGGCCCTCCAGGCCCGGTGAAAGGTCTCTTTCTCTTACCCTTGTCATTCTGTTGCCCTGGCTTAGCATTTCCTTCCTTGTCTTTCTGGAACATGGCCGTCTCTATCTCCTGAGAAATGGCGGCATCAGCTACCTCTCGAACTGAATGAAACCTTTTGGAAACGAGGTAGCGGCGGAGGCTAGGACGGAGCCCCGCTAGAAACATCAGTGACTGGTGATCTCTGGTCTGCCACATGCCCGTGAAGTGAAGTAGGCTCATGAACCTGCTCTCGTAGTCTGCTACTGTCATGCCTCCCTGCGTCAGTCTGGACAGCTCAAGTTCTTTCCCAGCACGTGCCACGGGAGAGATATACTGCTCATTAAAGAAATACACGAAGTCCTCCCAAGTGAGCGTCATCCAATGATCCGGGGTAAACTGAAGCAGAGATGTACCAAAGATTGTGGACTTCTCGGCAGTCACCGCAGACTTGTCGGTAGAGACTGCAGGGAAAGAAGTGCGTAAGATTTGGCTTGCTGCGAGACGTGAAGAGTCGCGAGATTCGATAATGAGGTTAGAGGAATGATGTGCGAACTGGGAGGTCTGTCTTCACGTTATAGCTGCAGAGCGGAGATCGTGGAATGGTGCGCGGCCTGGAAATTGTGTGTGCGGGAGGGGCTCATGTCTGGTACGGCAGGTAACGGGGAGGATGGATGGGATAGGCTCCAACTAAAGTGGAGGGCAAGTAGTCTACTGATAGTCTGGGCCGTGCTGCGCAAGCCTGGCCCGAGGGTGGTGGCGGTAAGAACCCCTAGGTGTAAGCTACTGGGGGTGTCGGTCTAATGTGAATGACTGGGATTGCACTAAGTGGGTAGGTGACGTATGTAACTGGCTAGGACATGATCGTTAAGGCACCTGGTCCTGTGAGGTGCTCACCAACATGCTACTGACAGGGGTGTCATGGAGGGTCTCGCGTAGGGTATCTGAGAAGATGGAAGTAGGGAGGCGGAGCTAGCGGTCCTAGGAGGGGTGGGCGACTTGCTGGCGCTGAGGTGCGGGCGCTGTGTAGGCGAGAGGCGGGAGAGGTGGACCTGCGTGCTGTGTAAGGGTTGTAGGGTATGGACGGCGTAGCTGGGCTGGCTGGGGGGAGAGTGGGGATGGTGAGAACGAGGGTCGGGTGGAGCTGTACGGGCGTGTAGGACTGGTGCGCGCTGGCTCTGCTCTACTGGTACGAGGCCTACCACGTCCGCGTCCTTGTCCCGCCATCTAAAGTTCAGGAAGATGGTCTATAAGACACAATATTGAGACCTCAGGTGAAAACATATATAATACTTAGTGACAAACAAGTCATTATAAACTATTCATGAAAATACTTTTAGATCAAAGTAAGGTAGTCATAAAAAAATTTCCAAAATTTTAAGATATACACGTATATCTTCCTCACTCATTCTAGGAAATTCTTATCAGACTCTATACATGAAACCTAAGAAACACTATTCTAGCTCCACGACCCGACACAATATGATCCTAAGGATACTGGAACTAGAGCTCTGATACCAACTGTGGCGCCCCTGTTTTCACACTTGGCTGCAGTCCAAGGTGAATCCAGAGATGTCAAACCTATCATGCACCTCCACTGTGCAATAACATGTTTTACCAATTACAGTAATATCCTCTAGTAGAATCAAGTAGAAGTCAAGGTACAAAACAGGCAAATAAGGGAAATAAAAATGCAATAGACATGATGCAGAAAGAAATATCTCATAATGATATCATGTCTCGACTAGAATAAACTGAAATACAACTGATATACATCTGGAGTCTGAAATAACATGACATGTCTCAATATGGATTAACTAGAAATCATACTAATGCAACATGCCTTAACAATATGAGTACAAACTCAAATAACTGAATAATACTACTGAGGAGTCCATACTAGTAAAAAAATATGCGACGGCGACTATGCAAGAACTCCGTCATCCTGCGACTCTCCGATGCTCTGAGCCGCCTGAAAGTTTAAAAAAAAAACAACAACAAGAGCGTCAAAGCGCTAGCAAGATTACCTCCATCCGCCCCCGAGGAGGGCTACTAGATATAGTGGAGGCTCTATCTATTAAGCATAATATACCTATATCATTTTCCCCAAATCTATATAGAATTAATATTTAGAAACCTACAACACGAGACGTAGTACGTCGAGCGAAATAATCCAAACAAGGAAACCCTCATGTATATACTGTGTGTCTCAAATTGTAGATAACTAAATATTAATCCCGGACTAAGCAATCGAAATATAACTAGAAAGTAAACATCATGATAAACATATGTATCAATGCATCTCAATCGTCAAATATCTCAACAATGAGTCGATGTCACTTTTGGCATCCGCCAAACACTCAGATAAATCCGTTTGTAATATTATTGTGTTCCTGTGTAAATCAACAGGACAGAAATATCAATTCCTACACAATCTATACGTAAACAAAGACATAGGTTCACTAACCTCAGCGCATTATCATGCGGATAATAAACATAGGTCCATCGACCCCAGCGCACTATCATGCGGATAATAAACACAGGTCCATCGACCCCAGCGCACTATCATGCGGATAAACAAGTGTCATAGGTTCATTGACCTCTTCGCATGCTCGTGCGGATAAACAAATATCATAGGTTTATCGACCTCTTCGCACGCTCGTGCGGATAAACAAATATGTGTAGTGGAGTGAAATTCATCACGGTCTCATTTGCGATGTATTAACCCGCTAACTCAAAAGTGTAATCGTAACAATATTTTTTTTTTCATAATCCCCTATATTGACATATATATTACTACATATTCATGATAATAAGTGTAATAATCGAGCGGCTCAAACTCCGCGAAAACATCTCAAAACAGCGCAAACAATCTCTAGAAAAGAAGAAACTGGGCCAAACTGCCCAGAAAAATGATCAGCGCTACTGTTAGTAAAATGAGCATATCTTTTTCTAGGAAAACTGTTCTTAGAAAAGGTTTTCTGTTTTGAAAACTAGATTCACACATCTTTCAATTGGCACTAGTTTGGTTCAGTTTGAAGTTCAATTTCAATACCAGATTTCAGTTGAAGTTGCATACACGTGCAGCAGTTTTCTGCATGACATGTCGTTAATAAAAAGAGTATATATTTCTCTATACAAACTATTTTTAAGATTTGTTTTCTGTTTTAGAAACTAGATTCACATATCTTTCATTTGACACTAGTTTAGTTAAATTTGATGTTCATTTTCTATCTCAAATTTTTAGTTAAAAATCATGTACGTGCTGCCGTTTTCTACAGAAAATATATCATTTGTAAATCTTTTAAATTTCTCATATATAAACGAAATTAATATTTATCCTAATGATCATGATCATATATCTAATTCCAACAATAAAAAAAACAAAATATTCAGTTCTAAAAACATCATGATTAACAAAATTTCAGTACTAGGATTTATCATCAAAAATCAAGTTTTTAACATCACAGTTAAGTTTTAAGCACGATAAATCTCATTTTTTAACTTCTTATAATTTCAACTAAATTACAGGGAAGGTTTGGGTAGGAGATAATCTTGCCTCGATGTTGCTGATAATCCCCAAACGAAAGTTTGTACGAGATCCCCCCTTCGCTGCAATTTGATATCCCCTGTTTCCTCTCTTCAAACGCCACAAGAAACTCTATGTTTCCTCTCACAAACGTCACAGGAACTCTCTGAAGCTTATTGTTGGGTTTGGAGAGATAGGCTCTGTAACTCACGTAATTCTTTGTGGAGGGTTTTGAAGGCTTGATACTTGGTTTGGGGTCATTTTCTTTGACAGAGAAAAAGAGAGATGAAGACTGAGTCTGGGAACTGAATCTTAGTCTTTAGTTTCTCAAAAAAATGACATTTTAGTACCATTGGCTTTTAAAGAAAAAAAATGCAATTGTTTTTCTTTTGTGGTACAATCATTCACATAACTTTGTTTTCTTTGAATTTTAAATCAAAGGAGGTGCCCACACACACCCAAATTACTGGTATTAGTCTTCATACAGGTGTAATATATTTACACAAAATTTTTTACAAATAAAAAACGACTAAAATTGGATTCAAAATCAATGAAAAAGCAACGAAAACAAACCTGCAGAAATTCAGCTACAGTATGATACAAGATTCTTCGTTTGTATGCTACAGTAACTACTGCTACAGTACTTCTTAAGCTGCAACAACGCCTTGGTATACAGTGCCGAAGAGAAAATTTTCGTTTTATGCTACAGTGTTGTACACACAGTAAAATACGTTACAGTATATTATACATATATAAGTTATGTATTTTGGCTATAACTTTCTCATCCAACCTTGGAATGAGATGAATTAAGATTTGTTGGAAAGCTGTGGAAAAGACCTACAACTTTAATCTTTTGAGTTTTTCCAGATTCTAACTATATCAGTGTGTAAAATACATAAACTCTTAACTGGTCTTTTCACCAGATTTGCATTTGCACTCGTATATTCACGTATATAAATTGAATTGATCTCAAATCAATTTCCAACATACTCAAATATCAAGATATGATATTTATCATCATAAAACATTATTATTATTGTTTATCATAAAATATTCAATTTTATGGGGTTTTACACCAGTGTAGCTTAGGGTTAGTTTGTTGGGTCAAAGTGAAGCCAGTGTAGTCACTTTAGTCATTGAATTTTATATTCACCCGGGTTTTTCTTGAGTTCAAAACAGGCTAAAAACGGATTGTGTGTAGCCCTCTGTCCGATCCAGTGTAGCGACGTATTGGGTGCACATAGAGGATTTGTGAACAGTCAGTTATCCGATGATATGAGCGTTGACTCTATGTGAGATATGGACTAGTGAGTTGAGATATGCTAGTTGTGTTTCTTTTCATACATAGATCGGGGTTTATATTTAATTATCTATAATTTGAGACGTATGGTATATACATGAGGGTTTCCTTGTTTGGATTATTTCGCTCGACGTACTACGTCTCATGTTGTAGATTTTTAAGTATTAATTACATCTAGTGTATGCCCCTGTTACTTGGATGATTAGTCTGATCGCTAGCTGCATGATCTCATTACCAGATCGCTTTTGGATGCTTTATGTCTGTAAAACCCCAAAAATTTTATAATAAATATATGTGAATTATTAATAGTGAATAATTCTCTTATGAGGAATATTTTTGTGCTGAGCGGTCGATCGACGCGGTCGACCGTGTCGGTCGACCGGTGCGGTCGACCGATCAGCACACAGAGAGTTTTCAGGTTTCGTTTTTTTACGGTTTTTCTTTTGGTCCTATTGGGTTTCGGGTCGGGTTGGGGCATTGGTATATATTCTATTTCAACCCAGGAGAGCCTCTCCTGAACCCAGACGTAAAACCCTAGCCCCATCCCTATTCTCCCAAAACCCT